ACCATGTTTGGGGTTTTTTTTTTTTTTTTCCATCTTTGTGTCCCATTACTTAGCTAGTACCTAGGGCAGAATGAATGTACAACAAATTCTTATCAAATGAATGAAAGGTGACATTTAGGAGGTCACTGTGGCCTCAAGCCCTTGAAATTTCAATTTTGTAATTGTAGATAGAACTGTCAAGGAACAAGACTGAGACTGGACCATCTAATATTTATCCCTTTTCCCATTTAGGAAAAAAAAAGTGCAGCTAGCTGCCAACGTTAATTTAACATCACGCATAGGAATGTTGTTTTCTAGGATCTGACATTTTCAACGATAGAGAATTACTATATTTTATAAATGGAAATATCACTACTAAAAACAGAGTGCTATAACAGAATGATATCATTTGTTTCCAAAGACTATCGATATACTAGAGTCATGTGAAAATAATAATAAAAGCAAGATATTTTATGGCAAACTTTGAGGGTAAGGTCATCTGTGAGTTATCTTGAGGTACAGGCAGCCACAAGCGCCACTGGCAAGTATTCTCGGGGCAAAGGGGACATGGGTTAGTGATTTCCTTGCATGCTAGGAGACACTGGGAGCTACAGCTGAGATACCGAAAAGCGATCAGAGGTGGGAAGAAATGCCCATGGTTCGTGAATCTCCCAGGAGACTCAGACTGGAGAGTCCCAGAAATGCATATTACAGATCCGAGATATTGAGTACCCAGACCCTCATTCACTAGCCCACCCCACCGTCCTGCCCAGCTGGTCTCTGAAGGCTCCCTGGGAAGGAGGATCTAAAGCAGTTGGGGGTCCAGGGCAGGCGGGGGTCATAAAAGAAAGTAGGAGTGGAGGAAGAAGGAATGAAGTGGGAGACAAAGGCGGCCAGAAAAATTAAGAGGTTTGGTTGATAAGGATCATGGACGGTGATTTCTGACATCTATGAACTTGGAGAGAGAGTTTAGTTCCACTGAGTACTTTGACTGGTTATGGATTTATAAAGGGCCAAGATTGATTTTGGAATTAGAGGCTGAAGAGAGACGAAGTACGCTGCCTGAGAGAAGATTTTTGAGTCAGACCGTGACAGAAAAAGGAGGGGAGAGAGGTGTCAGCAGGATTGTCAGTGCCTTTATTGCTTTGTAGGGCAGCCAGACCACTGCTCAATCTCTGGAGTGGGAAGGACCATTAAGAACAAGAACATCCAAATGGAAGTTTTAGTTGTATCCTTATAACATATAAAACGGCAGTAAAAGTTTTGCCATCCCTAACAGCCTTCTGTTTACAGTTGGTTTGGAGGAAAATTCAAGAAAGCCCTGTCTCCCAAATTTGGGGCCTGTAAGGGAACAGCCAAGAACAGAAAGGGAAGGACAAGACTTCAGCTGAAAGAAGAATCAAGACCGGATGTAACAATATGCCCAACCCGCTGGGATTTGTGCCAGGCAACAGCCCTGCCTCCTCCCCACTCTGCTCAGGGCCCACCCTGATTGGAAAGCAAGGAGTATCTTATCTAGATATTAAGGAGCAAGGTGACCCCAGCTGATATCCAGGCTACAGTCATTGCTTAGACTGAGGGTTTGGTCAGGACCTGTCAAAATTAATGAAAGTTGTCAAAAGAGAGGCTTCCTCAGGCCTGTCTCCGAAGTACCAAGAAAAGGAGGGAGCTGTTGAGGAAAGACGGTATATCTCTGCAGCACCCAGGGGTGGAGAGAAGCTGAACCTCCAAAAAGAAAGAGGTGGTAGGAGATTTTGAGGGAGAGATCAGCAGGTTGCATTCACAGGGTCTGCAGACCAGAGGAAGGGACTGTTCGGGGAGCCAGCCTAGGACAGGCCGATGCTCACCAGAAGTTGATGCGAACAGCACAGAAGGCAGGAGGCGAGGTCATTCCGTTTGCCCAGAGAAGAGTAAGCTCCAGAAACCTGGCTTTCCTCCTCCCAGCCAGGGGTGTTCCAGGAGAGCCAGGCAGACTCCTCCTGCCCTATCCTCCATGGAGAAGTGATGAGTAGAACAGGGGAGAAGAGCATTGGCAGAGAACACAGGCCTCCCATGAGTGAGCAGCTCAGGGTCTAGTCGAGGTTCAAAGTCTTCTCAGCGTCTTCCAATTCTCCCTTAGGCAAGTTTCTCCCTAAAGGTCCCCAACTCCTCATTATTCCTCTAGGGTCTTATCCATCCGCACAGGGCCCCACCTCCCTGTGATATTAACTGTGATCTGGGAACGGGGCAAAATCCTCTGATGCCAAAGTTAACATTCTCTGAGGTGGGAACTCGGACACTCTGCAGGATAGTGAAAAGGAAGGTTTTGTATAAGTAACTCTACGAATCACACCCACGTGTGGCTTCACTAGCGAAGACCCTCCTGAAGACTAGAGGGGGTCGAGGAAAAACAGGAGGATGAAAAACAATGAAGAGAAAAGAAACCAAAGAGTAAGACAGAGAACAGCTCTAACGAGTGAGATCACAGGGGTGTGACATTTTATGAGCAGTATGGAAACAACTGCAAAGCCCCTGAATGAAAAATAGCCTGGAGAAATGAGCCGCCCCACACCTCGGTCCTCAGGGAAAAAGGAGTGGGTGGCTGTCTGACCCAAATGTTCTCAGCACTCAAAGAGGGGAAAGTCCAGATGTTGCCAATATCCCCAAGTCAGTCTTCCCAGGACATGTGGAAATAGGGGACCCACAGGCATCGACTTTTAATCCCAAGTGCCCAAGGCTGGGAGAGGAGATGCCCCAGGTACTTCAGGACACAGTGACTGACACAGCCAGAGGTGGGAAGGGGAGGATAAAGATAGCACTGGAGTGAGGACAGAAGGCCAGATGGGCAGTGGGTGATACGCGTACCACAGGCTGGCTGGCAGGAAGATTAAATGAGATCACTCGTGATCTCCTAGCACAGGGTCTGACAGAGGTTTAAGTCCTTTGTTTGCCATTCTGAACAATTTCGTAGCGAGTTCTTTTGGCCATTAAACCAGACCTCAGCTGCTGCAAGGCTTATAGTCATTATTCGCCTCACTTAGTTTAAATATTCAATTATTTGCTGCAGAAATGTTGTGCATGATTGTGGATGCTACCCCAGTCCCATGAGGGTGTGTCTTGTGATGCTAGTTTCTTTCCGAAATCTGAAAAATTCTGAATTCTAAAACTTATCTGACCCCAAGAGTTTTAGATACTCAGTTCTGGTTACCCTTCCTTCTCTAAACTGCTTATCTCTGTGAAAAAAGCTTATGCTCAGTGGGGATAGGAGAGATGTGCAAATTAGCTTGCACGCTGTGAACAGGGCGGTAATGTAGGCATCCTCGTAAACAAGAGCGTGAACAGAAGAGCTGGGTGACTGGGCACATCCAACACTGTAAAAGAAGCAGGCACAGATGGGTTACATTCTTCAGGAGCACGAGAGAAACAGGAATAGAAAGGCAGAAGCTGCGTTTTGGAGTAGGTGTCTTTGAAGAGCAGCAGGTCTTCTGACAGAGTCTGCCCTTTAACATCTCTCCCCAGTACTCAGCACGCAGAAAGGGGGTGGGGGGTAGGAAGTTGCTGCTATGAGTAAAAAAAAAACAGACAGCCACAATAGAGCTTCAACTGCCATCAGATGTCAGCTTGCCACCTGAAGCTGGGCAACGCAGAGGAGGCTGCTCAGGAAGTGTAGAGGGAATAGCGTGCCCAGCACAGAGGCCAGCTGTCAGCCACTGGAGAGTGCAGTAAGAGCTACCTGGGCAGGAGCCATGGCCTGGCCACCTTCCTGCTGGCTGTGGGTTCTGGGGACTCTGACGGGGCTCTCAGCCACCCCAGCCTCCAAGATCTGTCCAGAGAAGCACTACTGGGTGCAGAAAGGACTGTGCTGCCCAATGTGTAAGCCAGGTAAGAGAAGAGGCCTTGCCGGGGGCCGGCTGAGGGTAGGAGAGAGAGGACTGGGTATGGGGGGGAGAGGGAAGCAGAGGGGGAATCTGAGCTCCAGCAAGGAGAAGAACCCTGCAGCACCCAAGGCACCCCCTTGAAGAGGGTGCAGAAGCAGCCTTCCTGGGGCCTTGACCCTGCACCTCTGCTCACAGGAACATTCCTCAGGAAGAACTGTGACTGGAACAGAAAGGCTACTCAGTGTGACTCGTGTATACTTGGGATTTCCTTCTCACCAGACCACAACACCCGGCCCCACTGTGAAAACTGCCGCCACTGTAACTCTGGTGAGATGGGCGAGCACTCGGGGGTGCAAGGTGGCAGAGCTGAGTGCGGAAAAGCAAGGAGTGGGGAAAGTCGGGGCTGCGGTGGCTCCACGGCTATGGCAAGCAGAGCCAGTGCTGGGAAATGGGGCATCCTGGGAGCAGGAGTGTTGACATGATGTGGGAGGATGCTGTTTTTCAGAGAAGGAGGAAAATATGAGAATGGGTCCATGGCTAGCATCAAGACAATGAAAAGCGGAAAGTGGCTCCGAGACCTCAGTTTCAGCCGAGCGACCCCTTCCTTTTGAAATGGCTGGGTTTAAAATGGACATTTGGAACGTGGAATACATCTAAGGACATAACAGTATCAGCCAGTGGACAATATCCTTTCTTTGCACAAAAGCCAACTTAGGAAAATGAATGTGCATGTGGCTTATGTTTTTCTTATTTCGGAATTTCATTTTTTTTAAATTAAGAAGTGTAATATATGCAGCTGTTATGAATTATTTTATTATTTCTCCATTTTAGCTAGAATTTCAGAAATGATGTGCCACTACGCACAGAGTAGCGGACTTTAAAGTGGCCCCTTTGAACAAATGCCTTCCAGCGGGACACTTATGACTGCTTAGCCTAGCTACCCAACTACTAGCCTGTAAAGGGGGTTTGCTTGCTCTCATTAGGCCTTGCCATATTCTTTAAAAACTAACTAGATGAAAGGTTTAGCCATAACGAATCAAACGACAACATCTGAAATGCACAAGAAGTATTCCTCAGTCCACTTAACTTTAAAAGATATAATTGCTAATGAATGTTTTTCTCTTCTTGGCAGCAACCCCAGCAGAGTCGGACTTTTTTAATCAAAGCCGCCCCATCCGCTCTCTAGGCCCCACCAGGCCTCTTCCCTGTACTGAACCAGTCCATACTTCCTTCCCTATGTTCCAGACCAGTCTCATCCACGATCTTTCTCTGCGAGACACGGCCCACAGGGTCCCCAAAGCACTCAGGCAGGCCCGGGCTGCAGGACTCTGGGGTGGGGGGACTGAATGAGTTCAGTCCTCTTGGATCTCAGTATTCCCATCTGTAAGGTGGAAAAGTCCTGGAAACATGGTGAAGAGAACTCTCGGGTCTCTGGATACTCATCACTGAAAACAATGGCCCTTCACCCATGTTTACCCAGTCCCAGCCCCTTCTTTGGCTCTTCCCTTCTCTTTGGCAGATGCCCTCCTAATCACCCCTCCTCGATCTTCTCTGCCTACCTCTCCCTCGGCACCACCACTGTCCCCTCCCCTACCCTGTTCATCCCTTGCAGATCCTTACCCAGGCAGGCTCACCATTCTTGATAAGCACAGGAGACCAAATTTTTATAGCAACAACTAGTCATAAGGATGAGAAGGAAAAAAATCGTGTCCCTCTCCCCTTCCTGACAAAAGGCAAACATTAGGCAAATTATTAGAGTTGGTGACAGTCTTTGGCATCCTCCAACCCCGCTCTCAGCACCCCTCTTCCACCTGTCAGGGCTCCTTTCCCTGGGTCCCCATGACTGCACTGCCCTAAGGCCCCACCACGTTCCAGCTCAAGTCTGGCCCACACCCAGGTACTGCTGCCTCCTCTAGAATCACCCTCATCTTCTCAAACACCCCAACCACTTATGAGCCCAACCCAGCCCAGGGCCCCTCACATCCTCCACCCAGCACCAGACCTCTACACTTGAATAAAACTTATATTTTAAAGGCAAAGGATGTCAGTAACCAAGTAACCCTCCAGTAAAATTAAAAACCTGTCAGGACCACAGTAGCACTATTTCTAATTGCTAAAAACTGGAAACTACCCAAATGCATATTAACAGTACAATGGATGAATAAACGCGATATAGTCACACAATGGGATACTGCACGGCAGTGAGAATGAATGATCTGCAATTACACTCAACAATATGGACTAATCTCACAAAGAGTTGAGTAAAAGTACCCAGACACAAATGAACACACGCACGATTCCATGTACATAGTACAAAAACAGGCAAAACTATCTTGTGGTAGTAGGCAGTCAAGCTAGTGGCTATTCTTGGGAGCGTATGGCGAGTCACTGGAAAAGAACACTACTGGTCACCTTCTGTTTCTTGATCTGGTGCTGGTTATCAATTTGTACTAATTCTCGACTTTATACTCGTGATGTAGGTACTCCTCTGTATTACAATTCAATTGTAAAAGCCTCAGTGAGTTGAGAGAAAAATCATATAAGCCGTTTCTATTTTTCATAGCATCTATTTCTGAACCATGAATTTTCTAAAAGGTCTAAGTTTTTCCCTTAATAACAATTATACTAATGGCAAAGCCACTGGGTGCCGGCGAGGGAGGGGCCAGCCTTGGCAGGGGCGGAGTGGTCCTGGGGGACAGGATTAAGCAAGTGGACCTTGAATGCCGCTGAGGCCTGAGCATCTCGTGTTCCTCCGGCCTCCTCTGTCTCCAGGTCATCTCATTCGAAACTGTACCCTCACGACCAATGCCGAGTGCACCTGCCCCAAGGGCTGGCAGTGCAGGGACAGGGAGTGCACTGAGTGTGATCCTGCTCCAAATCCCTCACCGACCCCTCGTCCATCGCCGGCCCTAGGCCCTCGCCCACAACCCACCCACTTACCTCACACCAAAAGTAAGTTCTAGGCAACTCTTTGTCCAGTCACTTGGGGTAAGGGTCACCCTCAATCAGCATCCCCACTTCCGTGCCTACCCCCACGAGTTACCTGGTCAGCCTATCTCTGCCTTCCCTTCGCAAACAGAGCCTCTCAGGCCTCCGAGACCTTCAGCCTCACCTCTCCCTGTGGGGCTCCAGGCTGCTGCTCACCCGGTCTGTTTTTCCAGAGATAGCAGAGGCCAAGACAGCCAGACACATGCAGACTCTAGCTGACTTCAGGCCGACCCCAGCTCTCTCGACCCACTGGCCACGTGAGTTTTCTCCCCATTCCCCACCCCCAGAGAGAATGCACACGGAAGAGTCCAGGAGAGAGGCCAGCCAGAAAGTAGGGATAAGAAAAAGAGGAAGAGTCTACGGATGAGGGAAAGACTTGGTCCAATGGTGGAAGAGGGGGTGGAAGGGGGGAAAGAGGCAGGGGTGTCGGTAGGGCTGGGCTGAAGGGAGTCAAGGACTAGAGCCTCCCAAAAAACCCTTATGTGGCCCCTGCCTATCACAGCCCAGAGGTCCCTGTGCAGCTCAGATTGCATCCGCGGCTTTGTGGTCCTCTCTGGAATGTTTCTTGTTTTCACCATGGTTGGAGCCATGTTCTTCCATCAACGAAGAAAATATGGACTAAGTAAGAGACAAAATACAGGTCTCTAGTCCTGTCCCCGACCCCACCCCACCTTCTCAGCCCTGCCACCCATGCCTGGAACCTCATGGGAGCTTTCCTATCTCCATCTTCACCAGCCCCAGTTCCCACCCACTCTTCCTCTCCTCTTAGCTGACACCCTCCTGACAGCCCCCCCTCCAGCTTTCCTCCCTTGCTATCTCTCCTCCCTTCGCCTTCTCCTCCGACCCCCACCAGCAGCCAAGATTCATGTTTCCCCTTCTGCAGACAAAGGAAGTCCAGCGGTGCCTGGTGAGCCTTATCCTTGCAGCTGTCCCAGGGAGGAGGAGGGTGCCACCATCCCCATCCAGGAGGATTACCGGAAACCCGAGCCTGCGACCTACCCCTGAGCCAGCACTCCGCAGAGGGAAGGTCATCTCTGCAACCAAGTCAACCCCACCCCACCAACCACCCAGAGGCAGATACTTGGCACCCCCAATTTCAGCACATGCTTTCGTCAGGATCCTTTCCTGTGTACAGACTTGAGAAAGTACCTTTCCAAGACCAGCAGTGACAAAGACACCCGGGAATAAGGTGGGAGGTGGGAAGCAGGATGTGTCCTGCCCTGGCCAGCTTCACCCCTGTGCTATAGGAGGGCTGGGGCTCCAGTTGTAAAACACACCCTACGAAAGCCCCACATGCGGTTTCACTGATTTAGAAACTCTGAAAAATAAAGTGAGACTGCCACACACAGCCGCTCTCCCGCTCGCTCTCTGAAATGCCAATCTCGCAGCGCAGGCCCCTCCCAGCCTCGGCTCCTATCAGGGATCTGAGGGAGGAGCTTCTCCCGGTGCAGAGGTGTGTTGGGGCCCTCCCAAAGGGGGAGGGGAAGACAGGCCAGGAGATCGGGAGGAGAGCACCAACGGAAAATGAGGACAGGTTCCCAGGCTACGGGGGTTCCTGCTTTAGGCTCCAGTCTTCTCCCTTCCTCTCCTCGCCTCCT